CGCGCGGGCCTGGCAGGCGGGCCTATCCGAGTCGGTGGATTGCCTGCGCATGTTCCCTGGCGAGGGCAAGCGGCCAGGAGCAGCGGCGTGGGCTCGAAGTCGGGGCGGGGCCCGCGCCCTTGCCGAACGGGGGAGAGGAGGAGAGAGGGTGGGGCGGGAGGGGGGGGGCAGGGGGGAAAGAAAGATGAGGAGGATGAGGAGGTGGAGGAGGAGGCGGAGGAGGTGAATGATGTTGATGTTGATGTTGATGTTGTCCTGCTGGTGATGATGATGATGATGATGATGATGATGATGATGATGATGATGATGATGATGATGATGATGATGATGATGATGATGATGATGATGATGATGTTGATGAGGACGATGTTTATGTTCATGATGATGATGGGATGATGATGGCGATGATGATGATGATGATGATGTGATGATGATGATGATGATGATGATGCTGATGATGATGATGATGATTGATGATGATGATGATGCTGATGATGATGATGATGATGATGATGATGATGATGATGGCTGATGATGATGATGATGATGATGATGATGATGATGATGATGATGATGATGAGGAGGAGGAGGAGGAGGAGGAGGAGGAGGATGAGGAGGAGGAGGAGGAGGAGGAGGAGGAAGGAGGAGGAGGAGGAGGAGGAGGAGGAGGAGGAGGAGAAGGATGGGGCCAGGTTGCGACATGAATCTGAGTGCACGTTTGGAGGGCAGACAGGACCACCAGCGTTTCCGCCGGTGGCTGTGTCCTGGAGGTCGGTACCTCTGGTGCGCAGGTGCGGAATGGAAGCAGGACCACCGGCATTGCGGCCAGGCCGTGCCCTGGAGGTCAGCACCTCAGGTGCGCGAGTACGGAGAGCGTGCAGAGGACCGCCGGCACTGCCGCCGGTCTGTGTCCTGGAGGTCAGTACCTCAGGTGTGCGAGTGTGGATCGAGTGCGCAGGACCGCCGGCATTGTCACCAGTCGGTGTCCTGGAGGCCGACGCCTCGTGAATCATCTATGTTCAGGCCAGCCTGCCTAGTCACCTGGTTGTGACCTCAATGTGAGTGCACGTGTGGAGGGTAGGCAGGACCGCCAGCCTTGTCGCCAGGCTTTGTCCTGGAGGTCGGTACCTCCTGCTGTGCAGGTGTGAACTGGACGCAGGGCCGCCAGCATTGCCGCGGGGCTGTGTCCTGGAGGTCAGTACCTCAGACCTGCGAGTGCGGCGAGAGTGCACAGGACCGCCGGCACTGCCGCCGGTCTGTGTCCTGGAGGTCGATGCCTCGATAATGGGGTATCTGTTCAGGCCCGCCTACCTATTCACGGGGTTGTGACTTGAATGTGAGTGCCTCTTGCGCGCACGTGTGGAGGGTAGACAGTACCGCCGGCATTGCCGCCAGGCAGTGTCTTGGAGGCCAGCACACCTGTTGGCTCCTTATCACTGTCGCCCCGCTGCTCACTCCACTGCGGGCTCGGCTGGGGCGATCGTTGGGTGTGTCATCCCACGCCCTTAGTGGCGCCCCGTGCGTCCCCAGCCGAATCCCCAGATGAGTATCGATCAGCATCGCCACGGGGAGGGGAGGACGGAGGAGGAGGTGGAGGTGGGGGACGAGGAGCAGATGACGCGTGAGCACGAGGAGCTTGGGGGAAAGGGGAAGGAGTCGGAGGAAATTGAATCCCTGCCCGTTATTCCTTTTTTGTGCCTGGTAGCCGGCGCCGCTGTCAAGTACCAGTTGCGGTTCCCGGTCTCTCCGGGCGCCCCATCCCGTGCTTGTACAACATGTCTAGATCAGAAGTCGGGGTGCTGGTGTTCGAATCTCCCTGTGGCGAGCTTGGCGCCGCTTGCCCAGAAACTAGCCTCTGACCTCCTGGGAGGCACCTCGCTGAATTGGTGGCTGCAACGCTTGCCCGTAGGAGGAGGAGGAGGAGGAGGAGGAGGAGGAGGAGGAGGAGGAGGAGGAGGAGGAGGAGGAGGAGGAGGAGGAGGAGGAGGAGGAGGAGGAGGAGGAGGAGGAGGAGGAGGAGGAGGAGGAGGAGGAGGCCTCCTCTCCTACTCCTTTTCTGTCACCTCTCCTCCCAGCCCTGGCTCAGGCACCTGCCTCTCATCAGGGCTTCTCGGGCGTACCTGCGCTCGCGGCGGGCGGCGGGGGCGGGTGGCTCTGCGATAGTCGTGGCGTCTCGGATCGGCGTGGGTTCGAAGGCGGGTCTTCGAGGGAGCGCATCTGCATGTCTCGACGTGTTGCTGGTCGTTCCCCAGGCGCTCGAAGAGAAAGGATGGAGCACGTCACCAGTGGCATGCGGTGCTCGCCCATGTCGCAGTCGGTGGCCCCGGAGAGTTGGCAGGCGTATCACGGCTCGTTCACCAGCACATCCGGGTGGATCGGGGGCATCGTCACAGCGATTGTCGTCAGCACGTGTGTATGTTTGGCTTTCGCCCCGTTTGGATCGCCCGCCTGCTGGTGGACATCATGCAGATGACATGGGCGGTGATGGGGGACCTGATGACTCTAGGCCTCCTGGATGGGGTCCGAGTAGATGGGGTCGGAGGATGCCGCATCGCCAATGCATCGGCGATGCAACGGCGATGCATCGACGACGTCGGCGATGATGACGGAGGTCGCGATCATCATCGCCGTCCCCGACGTGGTTGTGACGCGCACCATGCCGCCCCTCCTGATCCGTGCCTCGACCCCCTGGGAGCGATCCAGGGGCTGCGGCAGCTCGGCCCAGGTGGTGGCGATTCCTCCATTCTAAGCCCCACGGCGACATGGAGATGGCGACTCTGCTCGTCCACATATCTCGACACTCCCATTCGAAACGCTGGCGGCGAAATTCCGTCCTGAGCAGTTCGTGATGGCCACGTGGATGCAGATGCCCTGCTTCAGGCAGTGTGCACCACCCTGGTGGCGACGCTGCTGTGCAAGATGACGTTCGTGCCGGAACCGGTTCTTGTACTGGCAGCGACCTTCGTGTGGAGCATGGCGGCTGTCTCACTGATGGTGACGATCATCCTGAGGAAGGGGGTGGCGATGTTCTTCCAGTAGAGCCTGGTGCTGGCATGGGTGCGGGTCGTGGACGGGTGCGAGTTTCGCTGGGTGAGGTCTGCGGGGTCCGTGTCGGTCAGGACCGGCAGACGGACTTCGAGGTTCTGGGGCCCGGGTACGGGAGGCGGAAGCACCACCCCGGGGTCCGGGCGTCGCACAGGAGTCTCGAGCCTGGCTTCCTGGGGTGCACGGAGTTGGTGCACAAATTCTGCACGTGGTGTGCTTGTTCCCCTCCTGCTGCGGATACAGCGGCGTCCGGGGAGTCCCAGTGGTCAATGTCTGATGGGAGCTCCCATGGGGAGCGGCAGCCAGTGCTGCCTGTACTGCCGCCGTGTTCCACGGACGTTTGTAATGACTTTGTCCACGTTGATGGTGACACGCGAGGCGCATTCTGCATCACGAGCTGTCCGCCATGCGCCAACGTGCCTCGATGCCACGGGTGCACAGCGCCCGGACAACGAGGTTTTTGTCGGGGTTGTCTGTCATCGCCTCTTTCTTCGCCAGGGGTGACAGCTGCACCGCCTGCGAAGCCGCCGCCAGCCTTGGAGAGGTGCGCATATGTCGCGCGTGGTTGATCAAACTTCAAGACTGCTGCTTCGGATCTTTGTCAAACGTGCTGCTCGCGTGGCGTGCCCTGTGCCAGTGCTCCACATGGCTGCTTCAACCGCGTACGTGTAAACCAACCATCCAGCTTTGTGTCGAAGTCCTAGGGATGCTTTGCCACGGTGAAGAAGTGTCAGGACGCAACAGCCACGTTGATTCTGGTTTTTGAAGTCCCGGGGATGGTGTTCTGGCACGATCGAGGATCCTCAGACCATTGTTTTTCAATGGGGCATTTCCCGCAATGATCATAGATTCTTGTAGGGCTCTTGTTGGTTTTGCAATGGTCCTCCCCCTCCTCTCCCCCTCGCCCTCGCCCTCGCCGCCCTCCTCCTGCTCCTCCTCCTCTTTCTCCTCCTCTTTCTCTTCCTCTTTCTCCTCCTCCTCCTCCTCCTCCTCCTCCTCCTCCCTCCCGCCGCAGGAAGCGCTCTCATCAACGCGGTCAGCACGGAGAGGGTGGCACCCGTGGCAAAGCTGTTCCACGGACGACAGTGGGGTGCGTCGCTGCCAGTCTCTGTGAGCTTCGCGGCGGTTCAGGGTAGGGCCGAGGCGCGAGGGTTGAGCGCGGCGTGCCGTCGGCAAGGGTTGAAGGGAAGGGATCGGTGGGAGGTATCGTCAGCGTCGCCAGACCTATGCCGATCCCCACCCCCAGTGAGCCAGGGCTCCTTATCGCCGCCGGCCTTCTCCCTCTAAGGTCGGGACCTTAAGGTTCGCGTGTCGCGCCGCTGGTTCCGGCCCACCAAGCTTCGCCGCTACACCACAACGGGCTTCCAGGTCCCAAGCGTCAACGTCCCGAGCCTTTCCCAGCCTCACGCACCGCGGAGCAGAACGGCATGCCATCCGCTGACAAGGCGTAGCGTGTTGCCAGGGCCGCCGCCGCGACATGCTATGCAACACATCCAAGATCTGTTTGGGGAGAGGTGTCGCGAAACCCAGCGGAGGCGACATCTGTCCCCACCCAGCGGGGTAGCCTGGATAGTGGGGCCAAAGGTTTCCCAGTGGGGGTGGGGACCAGCCAGGCACTGCTGACTTCGCTGGGGCGGGCAGGTGTGATCGGCAGGGAGGTGGGACGGGTGGGTGGCCGGGAGATAAGCGGGGTGGGGGGAGCCAGATGGGGGGGGGAGGCGGAGTCGGGAGGCGCCGAGGGGGCGGCGGAGGAGGTGGGGTTCGGGCGGTGCGGCTGGCGCGGCGGGGGCACACGGCCCAGACCCCCGACGTCGTGATCTTGTTCGCAACGTCGACCCCCAGAGGTCTGGACCCCTTCCCCAGGACCGGTTTCTCGTCCCGAGCCGTTTTTTGACGCTCCCGAGGGCCCAGTGAGGGCCCCTCGAGGCCGAAAGTAGCGACCCCCCCCCCCCCGTCCTCTGTTTGTCATGTTTTTCTTTACCTCTTGCAGGAAAAGAACATAGAGGAGCGCGAGGAGGTCTTGGGGGGCGCGAGGGCCCAGCACTCGCGGGGCGCGGCGCTTCCGGCCGGCGGCCCCCCGGCCCCGAGGTGTGCAAGGCCTACCCGGAGAGGCCGCCCTGCCTCCCGGAGGGCCCCGGAAAGCCGCGGGCGGCGCCAGCCGCGGAGCACGCCCCTCGCAGGACGCCGCTCCCTCCCTCCCTCCCCCTCCCTCCCTCCCTCCCTCCCTCCCTCCCTCCCCCTCCCTCCTCCCTCCCTCCCTCCTCTCCCTCCTCCTCCTCCTCCTCCTCCTCCTCCTCCTTCCTCCTCCCTCCTCCTCCTCCTCCTCCTCCTCCTCTCTTTTCTTCCTCTCTTTCTCTTCCTCATCCTCCTTCCTCCTCCTCCTCCTCCTCCTCCCTCCTCCTCCTCCTCCTCCTCCTCCTCCTCCTCCTCCTCCTCCTGCCCCTTCTCCTCTCATCCTCCTCATCCTCCTCCTCCTCTCTTTCTCTTCCTCATCCTCCTCATCCTCCCGCTCCTCCTCCTCCTCCTGCCCCTCCTCCTCTCCTCCTCCTCCTCCTCTCCTTCCTCCTCCTCCTCCTCCTCCTTCTTCTTTTCCTCTTCCTCCTCCACGCAGGCGAGCCATCCCGAAGCACGGCTTCAGGAACTGGTCGTCGTCGTCGTGGAACTAGTTCCCCTTTGCAGTGACCCCCACCACCACCCCTTCCGCCAGCGGTCTGGGGCGCCCCATCCATGCCAGCCGCCAGCCCCAGACCTCGCGCTGTGGAAAAATCATGCCGGGAAGTTTTTCGCGATTTTCGGCCTCCAGGGGCCTGCCCCGGGCCTCAGGACCGTCAAAAAACGGCTCGGGACGGGAAACTGGTCCTGTGGAAGGGGTCCAGACCTCTGGGGGTCGACGTTGTGAACAGAATCACGACGCCGGGGGTCTGGGGCACACTCGGCCCGGCCGCTCTGGACGGCCAGCGGATTCCGGCGTCTCCTCCTCGACGTAAGCTGTCTTCACCACCCACCAAACCACCCCAACCCAACCCGAAGGCTCAGATTTACCCTCGATTTCTAGTGGGGGGGGTCCGGGAACATCGAACAAAACACACATGGAACCCATACCCCCCCCAACCCGAAATTCGGGTCCTCGGGTTGGGTTGGGGTGGTCTGGTAGGTAGTCATGTCTGCGTGGAAGAAGAAGAAGAAGAAGAAGAAGAAGAAGTGTTTTTTTTGTGGAGGTCCGCGGATGGCCTGGGTTGTCGGGCCTTCCCCCCCCCTCCCCCAGAGAACCCGACCCTGTCGGTTGTGCAAGTCCGAAGGGGGGGAACGAAGTATTGGTACGCGCGGGTATACGTGGGGCTGCCCAGAGCGAAAACGTCAGGTTGTCGGGCGTCGCCTCCCCCTCTTCCCTTCCCCACTGGAAAACTTGGGTTTTCGCCGAACAGAAGATCTCAAAACGGGTCCTTCGAAGGAGCGATTTCTGCCGCTGCTGGCAAGGGTGTATCCCCCCCACAAAAAACACAGGAACCATGGGCATGGGGGGGGCGACTCCCCCCTGGGAAAATATTCAGGACAATTATTCGGGGGATTCCAGAACCTCCCCCCTCCCCCCCAGTAGCGACGACGACGTCGACGACGTCGCCGCTAGCAAACAACGCACGTCGCTGCCGCCAGCAAAAGACGCGGACAACGACGACGACGACGCACGGCGCACGACGCACGACGCGCGACGCACGACGCACGACGCACGACGCACGACGCACGACGCACGCCGCACGCACGCCGACGCCGGCGCCGACGCCGACGCCGACTCCAACGACGACGACGCCGACGGCGACAACGACAACGACAACGACAACGACGACAACGACGACGACTAAGACGACGACGCCGACGACGACAACGACAACGACGACGGCGAACACGATGAAGACGACGACGGCGACGACGACGACGAGCAGAGTAGAGCAAGTAGGCGTTGAATACAGTCAAGTAGGGTGGGATACAGTAGGGTCGAGTATAGTAGGGTGCAGTAGAGTAGAGCAGGGATATGTAGATCGTATTAGAGTAGAGTAGGGTCGAGTAGAGAACAGTAGATGAGTAGAGTAGAGCAGAAGTGTAATTGAGCAGTGCAGAGCGGAGTGGAGTAGAGTAGAGTAGGAGTGAGCAGAGTAGAAGCAAAGTAGAACAAAGTAGAGTAGAGTCGAGTATTTTAGGGTAGGTTAGGGTAGAGTAGAATCGAGCAGGGTAGCGTGGAGAGTGGTGTAGAGTAGAGTAGAGTAGAGTAGGGTAGGCTAGGGTAGGGTAGAGTAGTATAGAGTAGGGTAGAGTACAGTAGGGTCCTAGTAGGATTCTGAGAGGGCTGGAGCGAGCCCAGCATCATTCAATCAGAGCCAGCGTTTGGCGCGGGCGCCAGCGACAGGTGCGCCGCCGCCGCTGACGTTGTCACCGTCGTCGGCGGCGTCGTGGGCGTCGTGGGCGTCGTCGTCGTCGTCGTCGCCGCCGCCGCCGCCGCCGCCGCCGCCGCCGCCGCCGCCGCCAGCGCCGGCGCCGTCGCCAGCGAGGGGGAGGATGGGTCTGGACCCACAGAGAAATTTTCGGGGGGGTGAGGTGGTGTTGTGGGGTCAGTGCGCACGGCGGTCAGCCAGGGCGCCAGATCTTGCAAGATCCTGCATCACCAAGCTTGCATTGACCTGGGCTAGCGCGCAGGATCCTGCTGGATCCCGCAAAGCCTGAGTGGCCCAGGTTTTCGTTGACCCGGTTCAGTCGAGGGGGTCGGAGTACGTGGTGTCGGAGGACCGCGCCGCTTTGCCGATGCATCGGCGATGCGGCTCGATGTGGAGCCCGATTTTGTCCACGGAGACTTCGGCGATGCATCGCCGATGCATCGCCGATCCTCCGACCCCCTGTGCTCATGGCTTGGCGCTTGGGCGCGGCAAGCCTTCGGGACACCTTGGGAGTGCGACATCGCGGCTGCCCCCCTCGCAGTAGCAGTTCAGGCTTCCAGACTGGAGCCTCAGCGGATGGGACCCGGCTCACATTTTGGGGAGCGAGCCCCAGTTCTGGCAATCGACGTCAGACCTGGGCAGGAAAGGCATTGATCTTCGATGTGTGTGGGGGTCCATTGCTTCCGTGTTGAAGCATGGTCCACAAGGGAGCCCGAGGGCAGTGCCATTTTCCTTTGGGCCAGGGGGTATCCATGTCTCGGGTTCGAGCTTCAGCTGCGGCTCCTCGAGGATAGAAGTCGGCGAGAGGTGCGTCGGCAACACGGTCGAGCCCTGCGCGTCAGAGGTGAGCACGGAGGCAGGCGATGCCAGCAACTCGCCGAGGATGGAGAGGACGGCCGCCGCATGCCGCCTCGGACTCCGCAGCAGCGCGCCTTGGCTCGGCTTGGGAGGCCAAGGGAAGGACTGTCCGGGAGGCGAGCAGGGAGGCCGAGGCTGCAGGAGGACGACGGGGCGGAGAGCGGGCGGGTGGCGGAAGAGGTCTAAGTCGGGCACGTCCCTCTACAGGAGGAACATTCAAACATAGTTAGAATATAGTCAGGAGACGACGTTTCGACAATTTTTGGCAATTTTGTTTCTCTTTGTGTGTCAATTATTTTTTTCTTTCAGGATCCGCCTGTAGGAGGACATGCCCGACCTGAGAGGAGATGGAGGGGGGCAGCCCGACCAATCGCAGAGTCGATAACACAAGACCCAGACATGGCTTCTTAGTGTATACGACTGGGCCCCACAAACTCGCAGCACGGAGCAGGCAAGCACGCAGAGCATCATGCTGCATTCGTCGACAGCACCTGTCGGCAATCCGCAGTTTCGCGCTACCAGCCGTACACGTCTCCGGCCAGGCAGTCTAGCGTATGCCAATGCCAACTCCGCAATTGCATTTTCTCTTTTGGAGCCACCTCGAACCACACCCGAGACCAAGAGTTCTCAGTCAAAGTCACATCTTCAATGGAACTCCGATTGTTCACAACTGGCAGGCAAGTCAAAGAATGGACGATTCCAGCACAGCTAACGCGTGGATGGAGGGCGCTTTATCACTTGCTCAGCTCTCCAACAACGGCCCATTCGAAAGCATCCTGGTGGCCCTTATCGGCATCTTCCGCGGCGATTCAACGACGCATATCAGTCAAACAATCGATTTCCCAAGCGGCGCATTTGCGCCATCAGCTCGTCGCCTTTGTGCTACTGGTGCTCCCGCAGGCCCTCCTGCGTACCCCATGGTCTCTGGGCGCTCGCGCCTTGTGCTGACGTCTGCCATGATGATCTATGTTTTGTTCGCGGATGCCCCGTGCGGAACGTATCCGTGCGACCGCGTATCCGCGAGATCCGCGAGATCGCGCCCTGGAATCCAGACCTCACCGAGCGCATTCCACTACTCACAAAGCGCCCATTCGCAAACGTCCGGAAAGGACATAGTTGCCTCTATGTTCTGGATCGTGAAAATTCCCTGCGGCGGATCCAGGCCATTTGCGAGTGGCTACTTTGCGAGTAGTGGGGCGCGCTTGTCTAAGACAGCAAGGGCGTGGATATGATACGTTCGCCGCTTGTGGCGATGCGCGCGGCGGGAAGGTCAACGCCCCTGCGCCTGGGCGTCGTGGCGACGAGGCTGGTGATGAGCTGCACTGGTCTCCGCGCATTTTGCGGGGGGCCGTACGCCAGGGGCGGCCCATATAACGACGGGTGCCAGCGTAAGGACAGGCGTGCTGACCAGGACCAGGATGTCGTGGGATTTTGTCGACGCCGATCTTGGTCACGGTCCATGCTGGCCGTCGCCGATTCGCGAGGATGGTCCACGAATCGACGTTGATCAAGATGGACGGTGACCAAGGTCGGCACCGACGTTTCTGCATTCAGTCTTGGCCATGGATTCTGGACGGCGGAGGGCGGAGGGCGGAGGGCGGAGGGCGGCGGACGAGGAGGAGGGAGAGGAGGAAGAGGAGGAGGAGGAGGAGGAGGAGGAGGAGGAGTCTTGGCCATGGATTCTGGACGGCGGAGGGCGGAGGGCGGAGGGCGGAGGGCGGCGGACGAGGAGGAGGGAGAGGAGGAAGAGGAGGAGGAGGAGGAGGAGGAGGAGGAGGAGGATGAGATGAGGAGGAGGAGGAGGAGGAAGAGGAGGAGGATGAGGAGGAGGAGGAATTATGGAGGTGGAGGAGGAGGAGGAGCGGAGACGAGAGGAGGAGGAGGGTGGATGAACAGGAGAGAGGAGGAGGACGAGGCGGAGGAGGAGGAGGTGAGGAGGAGGAGGAGGAGGAGGAGGAGGCGGAAGAGGAGGAGGAGGAGGAGGAGGAGGAGGAGGAGGAGGAGGAGGAGGAGGAGGAGGAGTAGGAGTAGGAGGAGGAGGAGGGATGACGATGATGATGATGCTGATGATGATGATGATGATGATGATGATGGTGGTGATGATGATGATGATGATGATGATGATGATGGTGGTGGCGGTGGTGGTGGTGGTGGTGATGATGATGATGATGATGATGAGGAGGAGGAGGAGGAGGAGGAGGAGGAGGGGGAGGAGGAGGTGGAGGCGGCGGAAGAGGAGGAGGAGGATGACGCGGAGGAGGAAGTTGATGATGAGAAGGAGGAGGAGGAAGAGGTGGAGGAGACGGCGGCGGCGGAGGAGGAGGAAGAGGAGGAGGTGGAGGAGGATATATAATATCAATACTACTGATGATACCACTACTACTACTACTACTACTACTACTACTACTACCACTACCACTACCACTACCACTACCACTACCACTACCACTACCACTACCACTACCACTACCACTACCACTACCACTACCACTACCACTACCACTACCACTAGTACTACTACCACTACTACTACTACCACCACCACTACTACTACTACTACTACTACTACTACTGCTACTGCTACTGCTACTACTACTACTACTACTACTTCCTAATACTACTACTATGATTAAAGTTTGCTATTTTTGTATTACTAATTGACATACTATTACTAGTACTACGAATAAGACCTATTCATAACATGCATACTCATCACCGTAATAGAGCAACATTAATGATACTGCGAGGTAATAAGACGAATACTACTAAGAACAGTAATACTCATGGTCATACGCATCATGCTCATACCAAGAATACTAAGAATGATTTTCAGAATGGTAACAGGAATGCTAAGACGAATGCGAGTACTAATAATAAGACTGAGACGAATATGTATTGATACGAAGAAGACGGATCATACTACTACTACTAATAAGAAGAACACTAATACTGACAGCTAGAAAATCATGATAATATCACTAAGCATACTCTGTGGGCTTAAAGGGGCCGGGCAGTGCAAAGCGCCCCGGGCGGTTCCCCCAGGATCCGCCCCGCGGTTCCCCCAGTTGCGTCCCCTTAGATTAGTGTTGCTTATCTCATCTTAGCTTAGCTTATTTCATCTTAGCTTAGCTTAGCTTCATCTTAGCTCAGGTTTATCTTAGCTTAGCTTACCTTCATCTTAGCTTTGCTTAGCTTTAGCGTAGCAGAGCACAGCAGAGCATAGCATAGTGTAGCATAGCATAGCGCAGCACAGCATATCATAGCATAACCCAGCATAGCATAGCATAGCGCAGCATAGCATAGCATATCATAACATAGCGCAGCACAGTACAGCGCAGCATAGCACAACGCAGCATAGCATAGCATAGCATAGCATAACATAGCATAGCACAGCAGCTGAGCAAAGGCAACGCAACAGCAACGACAGCAAAGCAAAGCACAAGCAGGCTCTGCCTAGAGGGTTAGCTTACCTACCTACCTAGCTCTGCCTCGAGGGTTAGCTTAGCTTAGCTTAGCTTAGCATAGCGCAGCGCTGCATTAGCATAGCATAGCATAGCATAGCATGGCATAGCCAAGCATAGCATAGCATCGCATATCATAGCGCAGCATATCATAGCATAGCATAGCATAGCGCAGCTTAGCATAGCATCGCATAGCATAGCTTAGCATAGCTTAGCATAGCACAGCGCAGCATGATATAGCGTAGCTTATCATAGCATATCATATCATAGTGCACCATAACATAGCACATCATAGCATAGCATAGCGCAGCATAGCATGGCATATCATAGCATAGCATATCATAGTAACTAATGCTGCTTTCCTAGGGGCTCCAATTTCTAGATAGGGTCGCACTGGGGTAATTATTCCTACGACGAAGCATAATACAACACCACACACGACTAACACGTCGTACACGAAGAGTATTACGATTAAATCTAAGGCGAATGCGACTAAGAATCGTAATGCTACGAAGGGTCATACTTATAAACATAATCATCTGACTTAACTGCTACGAAGAAGAACATCATAACAATACTAGTCATAAGCAAACGACTGATAATACTAAGTAGCACATGATAATACGAATAACCATACACCATAATACGACTACTACTACGTTTGATGATTATCATACGCATACTAATACGACGACTCGTGTATCAAGACGAACGATACGAATGTGAAGAGGAACAACATTATCAACACCAAGAAGAAGACGAACACCAATACACACAATACGAGTACTATTACTAAACAGACGGTTTAACAATAATGCAGTATTTGTTTCAAAACTAACCATATATCAATACTACTAACACCAGTACTAATGCTGAACATAATGCCAATCATACAACACATCAGAATACTAATACGATTGATAGTAAGGATCTCATGATAATAACAATGACAACACTAATACAACTAACATTACTGATAGGATGAAGAGGAGGAGGAGGAGGGCGGAGGAGGAGGAGGACGGAGGAGGGTGGAGGAGGAACATTCGGAGGAGGGCGGAAGAGGAGGATGAGCAGGAGGAGGTGGAGGAGGAGGAGGAAGAGGAGGAGGAGGAGGAGGAAGGGTCATCTTTGGGCGGACAGCGCGAAATGTCAGTGCGAGTTCCCCCTCTTGGTGCTTGGGGTCCTCTTGGGACCTCTTGGCCACACTGCTCATCCTAAATCAGTCGTCACTGCCCTCTTCTTTCTAATTGTGTAACCCTCTTCCTCCTCCTTATCGCTCCTTTTTCCTTCATCGTTTTCCTCCTCACTGCGTCTCTCTCCTGAATTCTCCTCCTGCTCATCCTCTTCCTCTTGGGGGATCCTCTTCGGGCCCCTTGGGCCGCGTTTTTTGGAGCCTGTTCGGCCGTCTTGCGACCATCTTGGGGCGTGTCTGTGAATGGAACCCGTGTAATACCCTCATATAAATTCCGTATCCTTACCTCTCCTGCGCCTGGCCGTTTGGGCTCAGGTATTGAGATAGATCGATCAGACCTTGATCGTGCGGGAGGGAAAGATATCCATCTATCCCTCCTT